TTGTTGTTGTTGTTGTTAAGTGCCATCGAGTTGGTTCCAACTCATAGCAACACAGTATGTTGTTCTTAAGTGCCATTGAGTAGATTCCGACCCATAGCGACCCTGTATAGGGCTTCCAAGGAACAGCTGGTGAGCTTGAACCACCAATCTTGCAGTTCAAACAACTTTGCAGTCTGATGCATTAGCCCAGAGCGCCACACTAGAACTCCTGTACAGTACAGAGACACTCAATTCCTAGGGATTCTGGGACAATGGTGGTAGTACTAAGGAGACCTGGCGACACTAGAGTCTCATCAGCATAGCATAGGAACCTTTTATACCAGTCAGCCATTTGCTGCTTCCTCCAGCTGTGTTTTCTTTATAATACCTCCTGCATAGTGAGTGAGTCATTGTTTCTGTCATGTTCCCAAATGAGTGTCTGTTTCAGTCAACTATCAAACCCCAGGCACAAGGGAGCTATGTTTTCATCTTCACCAGTGACTGCTTCTTAGCCAACCTGTAATAAGTGGGCTGGTCCTTCCCCATTAGCTCCAGAAGTGGCCTTCAGGAAAACTCATCATTGGCTGGACTATGCAGACCTGGAGTGCATTTTATTTTGTATTTCAATTAAAAACCTTTGAGTGCACCTTGAATTATATAGCAAAGGGAAACGACAAGAGTTGCCTTCTTTTAAGCTGTGTTAAATGCAGAGATAATCCTGTGGCACTGTAGGATAAGCACTGGACTGCTAACTGCAAGACTGGTGTTTCAAATCTACCAGCCACTCCTTGGAAACCCTCTCCAGGATCACTATGAGTCAGAACTGCTTTGATAGCACACAGCAACAACAACAAATACGTAGAGAAGTGATTTGGACACAGAAGGTGGTGCTGTTATAAAGATGCATTATTATCCTTATTTGAACAGAGCCCCTATAATATTTATGGGAACACTTAGAGGGCTCACAAATGCAAGAATCTCCTTTAGTCCGAGTGTGGGGTTAACAGGTGCCCCAGCTACCTGCTTTAAAGTGGATTGTACTTATGGGCCTCTACCTGGGTGTAACATACAGAGCATTTAGAAAGGTCTTTCTTGGGAATGGCTCAGCATGGATTCTATCATTCTCTTTCAGTTATGTCTCCTGTTCATGTGACCTTTGCATTTGCTTGAAGGGAATAGCCAGGAAATTTCACTTTGATCACTCTAATCTTAGTGAGGTTACAAGTCAGGGTGTGAAGTAATGTAGAGAATCCATGGGCGTCTAAAATGGAAGCATGCTGAGAGTTTTATCCAGATAGCATGCCACTCAACCAAATTTGGCATTCCTACCAGTCTCCTGGGAAGATGCAAGCAACTTCTTACCTGGCTTTCCTCCTCTCTTGATTTTCCACCTCCAGAGCACTAATTGTAGTCCCTGGGTGGTGTAAGCAGTTAGTATACTTAGCTTCTAACAAAAAGGTTGCAGGTTTGAGTCTGCCTAGAGGTGGCACTGGTGTGGCACTGTGGGTTAATGTGCCAGACTGCAAAGCCATTTGAACTGCAAGGTTGGCAGTTCAAGCTTACCAGTCACTCATCGGAAACCCTATACAGGGTTGCTATGGGTCAGAACCAACTCCATGGCACTTAACAACAACAACAACAACAGAGGTGCCTTAGAGGGAAGACCTGGTGATCTGCTTCCAAACAGTCAGTCACTGAAAACCCTATAGAGTACAGTTCTACTCTGACTTACATGGGATCTCCAGGAACTGAGTTGACGCCACAGCAACTGGATTTTATGCAATACTTATTGTTGTTGAATGTTGTTGAGTTGGTTCCGACTCATAGTGACCCTGTAGAGATGATTAAAGTGTGGGTTTGCTATGAGTCAGAATTGACTCAACAACCCTCTTTTACAAGTACTACTAATAAACACACAATGTGGGGGAGGCATATTGTTAGAGAGAAGACAATTTTAAAAGTCATTCTGACCATAAGAACGTATATCAAGGTTTACAGATTATCTCACATATTAATCAGCTTACATGCAGGAGAAAGATGAGGCTTTCTGCTCCTGTAAAGATTTACAGCCTCGGAAACCCTGTGCAGGGTCGCTATGGGTCGGAACCGACTCGACAGCACTTAACAACAACAATCAGCTTACATGATAGAAGATATTTGTATACAAATTCAACAAATATACTGAACATCTAGCACTGTGCTCAGTTCTATTCCAGGTGAGCACCATAAAAAGAAAAATCTCTGTCCTCATTTTGTTGTTAGATGCTGTATGTTGTTGTTGTTGTTATGTGCTGTGGAGTTGGTTCCGACCCATAGCAACCCTGCACAGGGTTTCCGAGGCTGTAAATCTTTACGGGAGCAGAAAGCCTCATCTTTCTCCCGCAGAGCGGCTGGTAGTTTCAAACTGCTGACTTTGCAGTTTGCAGTCCGATTTGTAACCACTACGCTACCAGAGCTCCTTAGATGCTGTATAATTGGTTCCGATTCATAGTGATCTTATGTGCAACAGAACACTGATGTACAAATTGCTGCCTCGTCGGGTACCATCCTCTCAATTGTTATGTTTGAGCCCAGTGTTGCAGCCACTGTATCAGTTCATCTTGTTTGACCTCTACTTTACTTTACCAAGCACGATGTGCTCCTGCAGAGACTAGACCCTCTTGAAAACATTTTTCCAAAGTATGTAAGACAAAATCTTGCCATCCTCACTTTTAAGAAATATTCTGTCTGCAATTCGAAACTACCAGCTGTTCCACAGGAGAAAGATGAGGCTTTCTGCTCCCATAAAGATTTACAGCCTCGGAAACTCTGTACAGGGTCGCTATGAGTCGGAACCAACTCCGTGGCACATAACAACAACAACAACAAGGTCTTGTAAGACAGATTTGTTTGTTCTTCTGGTAGTTCATGGTATTTCAGTATACTTTACCAACATCATAAGTCAAAGGCAGCACTTCTTCATTCTTTCTAATTTGTGGCCCAGTTTTTGCATGCATGTTGTTGATATTATGTGCCATCGAGTCAATTCCGACTCATAGTGACCCTGTATAGGGTTTCGGAGGAGCAACTGCTGGATTCAAACTGCTGGCCTTATGGTTTGCAGTCCAGTGCTGATCCTACAGCATCACATCAGAGGCAATTAAAAATACTATGGTTTAAATCAAGCATATGCTAGTCCTCAAAGTGACACTTTTGCTTTTTAGCACATTAAAGAGTGTGCTAAAAAAATTTTTGCAGCAGATTTGCCCAATGAAATACATTGATTTCTTGACAGCTGCTTCCATAGGTATTGATTGTAGATCCAAGAAAAATGAAATCTTTCAAATTTTCAATGTATTTTCTGTTTATCATATTGCTTATAGTCCAGTTGTGAGGATTTTTGTATTGTTTATTAGGTTCAATAACATTAAATTGTTTTTGTACATTAAAAACAGTTGAATATAAACATACGACTGCCCTATATTTATATTATATAACAACTTTTTATGTTATGTAACAACAATTCCTAACTATTTCCTTTGAAAGTATAGGCATCTGCATGAAGACGGGCACAGGAAAGTCTTATCAACTTTATTCATAGCAACCCAAGCTGGTTAACAATCCAATAGCCATCAACAAGTAAATGGTGACTAATCTATGGTCTATCCAGTGAAATACTACTCAGCAATAAAAAGGATTGAGGTACTGATAAATGCTACAATTTGGATAGACTGAAAAACATTAGGCGAAGTGAAAGATACCAGACACAAAAGACCATATGTTCTGTGGTTCCATTGGCATACATTTAGAAAAGGCAAACTAATGAATAGTTAACAAAAAATGGATCAGTGGTTGCCTAGGAACAGGGGAGGGTATGAAAACAGGAAAAGGCTAGAAAGAAGGATTACCAGTAGTCAAGTGGGATCTTTTGGGGCTGATGGATATGTTTACGATCTTAATTGTGGTGATATTTTAAAGGGTATACAGATATGCCAAACCTTACCAAATTACATACTTTGAAATACGTGGTGTTTATTATATGACAATCATACTTTAATAAAGCTCTTTAAAAAAACTTCTTTTTTTTTTTTTTTTGCTATTTCTAAATGTCATCAAGTTAGTTCCAACTCATAGTGACCTTGTATAGGGTTTCCAAAGCTGCACATTTTTACAGGAGCAGAATGCCTCATCTTTCTCCCAAAGAGCAGCTGGTGGATTTGAATTGTTAATATTGTAGTTAACAGTCCAGTGCTTCTCCTACAGTGCTAACAGCACCCAAAAAACTACTAAGACTGCAGTAATTTCATGTGATCCAATTAATTAGATAAACTTCAGTGCAGAGATTTACCCAGTGAAAGCGTTAACTACAAATTTTAATTAATTAAAAATACCATATATTCTCTTTTCAAACGTTTATTGAAAGTCACCATGTGCCAGGCACCATAAGAGGTATTGTCAGTGAAAAGTGAAGTAGGCAATTCCTGCTTTGTCACTTAGTGGAGAATCAGGCTTGTCAACCAACAACTTGAATAGCTTTCCCTCAGGCAAGTTTATCCAAGTTGTTCTTTGTTGATGGAATTTATGCATGTATCTGTGCCTTCCTTCTTTTTCAGAGTGACTTGTGGTCTCTGGGAATCACCGCCATTGAGATGGCAGAAGGTGCTCCCCGTAAGTATAGTCCCCTTCCTCCAGGGTGCAGTCTGTTGCTGTTCAGCTTGGCAGGTCCTCCAGGTTCCTGGCTTTACTTCTGCTACACTGAGCCCTGCGTGGACTCTGGCTGGCATACTTAGAAAGCAGAGTCACCTTAAATCAACCAGGAATCCATTCATTTCAGAGTGGTGTGAGGATCTTCTTTTTCTGAGGGGAAAAAAAGAAAGCAAATTTGGAGGAGTCTTATTTGTTTACAGATTTGATGTATAATTATCTTCTTGAGTTCCTCTTTTCCTAACCTAAAGCCAGGACCAACCCACAAAGAAGATCACTCCAATTTAGGAAAATCCAAATCCCAATGATCAGTGCCTGGGTTATGTGAACCCTTGTACTTCATTGCAGTCACTCATATGACGATCCTGGTGTTTGGGTTTTTAGATTTCCCTGCTGATACTTGAGGCAGAATGGTCAGGGCTCTGGCAAGATTGAGCACATTTTCCATTCCTTGTAGATCTGGAGGAGCAGCACTGCAGCGTGTCTCTTGCCTGCTGTGGCTCTGAGCACATGCTTCACACGTTTCTAGTACAGGAAAGCATGACCCCCAAAGTCACTTCCTAGGAGCCAATCCAGGCACTGGCAGAGAGTAGCCGTGATACTAAGCAGACCCTGGGACACAAGGGATGCCTTTGTAGGTGACTTTGACCCAGGAAATCCTCCTAAGGCTTCATTAAGGTTCAGGACCATCTCAAGTGCTTCCAACAGCCCTCTCTCCCTTTCTCCCCCACGCAGAGTTAGACTTGCATCACAATCTAACAGCTCTTCCAGCCTTCCTTGGTCCCCTCCTTTCCGGCACAAATTGTCCCTAGTAAAATCCATGCATGTTTAATCCCACCTTGGAGGCTGTTTCTCAGAGGACCCGGACTATAGCAGGACCCTATTTTGCATGAGAGGTCACACATGCATGACCCTTTCCCCTCAGGAATAGCAATGTTGTGTTATTTCTCTGTGACTTGACATGAATGACTTGACAGAATTCATCTGTAGCATGGTCGATTTCAGTGTTTGTTAATGAGACTTCTCTCAGCCCCAATGCTAATAGGCATTTGTGAATCATATACTACTTGAGAAATAACATACTATCGTTTTAAACCTATGTTACCATTTTTGATGAGTGATAGACTAGGCTAAAATCAAACTTCTACCCACAGACTCCATTGCCTTTTAGGGACACTGTATTCTTAATGTGCTTTAGACTGTTAAAATCTTCATAGCAACATTGGGTTTGGATGAGCCTTCATTTTATAAGAAATAGATCATGGCTTATCATATAAACAAAGGGGCTTCCAAAAGTTCCTGGAAAAATGGAATTAAGACATAATGGAACTTTTCCACAAATGTTTTGAATACCCCTCTCTTCTTTTATTTATGGCTTAAGTTTTGATTAATGGCAATATCTTCACCATTTCCACTATAAATGCCATCCTGAATCTCAGATTGTTATTTACAACAAGGATAACTATTTGTTGATCTTTTAAGTTAGTGCTCTTAAATATCAAATGAAAGTATATTCACTAGAGTTAACAGTGTTTATGTGGAACATGTTACAATTTATGAGACTCCTGTAATTAGACATTGACTTTTTTAAATGGGCGCCAGATGGAAGAATACTGATGTTCTGATTCCTATACCCGGGTTACCTATGGTAGGACTTGGGGAAATATCTCAGCAGCAGCATCTGCATAGCCAGGGTGGGTTTGGCCTCCTAACCCCAGCTGGCCTCTGTTTTGCTCTCTTCCAGCTCTCTGTGACATGCACCCCATGAGAGCCCTCTTCCTTATCCCCCGGAATCCAGCACCTCGCCTGAAGTCTAAGAAATGGTGAGTCTAGTCTTTAGTTTCTTGCAACCCGATGACTGGAGTTTCTCTGATGCTCCTTCTGATAAACTCAAGTCTTTAGGTCGCTCACAGGGTTACACTAATAGAGACTAAAAGACTTATGGATGACTTTCTGTATGGTGTCATTCACTTTAAAGTACACCTTAAGTACCTATGATTTTCTCGGAAAATCTTTATCTTCGCACTTACAAGGTAAGGAGCTATAGTGAAGATGGGTCATGTCACTGTTGTTGTTAAGTGCCATCGAGTCGGTTCTGACTCATAGTGACCCTGTGTAGGGTTTCTGATGAGCATCTGGTGGGTTTGAACCACCGACCTTGTGATTCAAACTGACGCTGCTGTCCAGTAGTTATTCTACAGTTCTACACTAGGACTCCAAAGATGGGTCATAGAGCCCAAGTAATAACATGGACACTTTAATATGTGATAGGGCTTCAAAAATGGAATTTGAAGATAATGGAATTTGTCCATAATTTGTCTTTGAAGCCCCGTCATATAACCTCCATTGAAATCTTTTGTGGCATCACAGAACTTCTTACCAGAGAAGTTGGATTTGCTGACTTCTCTTCCTTAAGACATTAATTTACTGAGTGAGGTATACACACATGCAAAGGTGTACCACACACACACACCTAGTAACACTCAAGATGGTGCCAGTTACTATGTTGATGAACATATCCAATTTTGTTTTCACTAAAGTTTTCTTTTTATGTCAAGTGATACAGGGCTTTTATTTTTGGCAGTGATATAGCATTTCCTTTTAATAAACATATTCATGTAAAACAAAGGCTTAATTAAAAGAAAATTACTAAAGAAATACTTGCATGAGTGGCATGAGAATATGGCAAAAATTGTGTTGGAAGTATATGATTGACCAAAATTTGGGAAACAAGGTTGGGCCCAATGTTGGACTTTTTTTGTACATGTATTTATATGAGGCTCTGTGTATATTTTGATTATATAACAAATATCCATTGCTTCTCTTTTTCCTCCCTATGAAAATTATGCATCTTTCCTGAACCTCTAGGCACCCTTGCACCACTTGTGACCTCCTCTCCATTCCTAGACACAGATTCTAGACAGTCAGGCCTTGAAGGGACAAGACCCTTTTGTCTTTTATACAGTTTTATGGTTGCTCCCTTGACTGTGGTTCCCACCTATGCAGAGGTTAACCTCTCAACATACACAAAATCTTCATTAATTCGAGTCACCTAGAAGGAGCTCTGGTGCGTAGTGGTTACAAATCTGGCTGCTAATCTCATGGTCAGCAGTTTGAAACTACCAGCTGTACCATGGGAGAACGATGAGGCTTTCTGCTCCTGTAAAGATTTACAGCCTCAGAAACCCTGTACAGGGTCACTATGAGTTGGAACCGACTCCATGGCACATAGTAACAACTACAACAAGTGTAGTCCTGCTGTGGCACTGTGGGTTAACGTGCTGGACTGCAAGGTCAGTTTGAACCACAAGGTCAGCAGTTCAAGCTCACCAGCTGCTCCTTAAAAGCCCTTTACAGGGTCGCTATGGGTCAAAATCAATTCAACAGCACTTAACAACAACAACAACAAAGTGTAGTCTTGGTGTGGCATTGTAGGATAAGCACTGGACTCTTAACCATGAGGTGGTTCAAACCCCCTAGCTGCTCCTTGGAAACCCTATGGGTCGCTGTGAGTTGGAACCAACTGGATGGTACTTAACAACATCTAGTAACGACATAGGGTCACTGATAGTTCAGTAGTAGAATTTTTGCTTTCCATGTGGGAGGCCTGGTTGGATTCCCAGTCAATATACCTCATCCACAGCTACTGCTTTCTGCCATGGAGATTTGCTTGTTTCTATGAGTCAGAACCAACTCGATGCATCTACCAGCAACAAATAATGGTACTAAATTAGGAGCGTGGTTTGACTCTGTATGATAAGCACTAGACTGAAAACCACAAGGTAAGCAGTTCAAGTCCACCAGGCACTCCATGGGAGAAAGATGGGACTTTCTGCTCCTGCAAAGATTTACAGCCTCAGAAACCACCGACTTGATGGTACTTAACAACAACAATAACAATGGTACTGAACAGGTTTCAGCAGAACTTCCAGACTTAAGGCAGACTAGGAAGAAAGGTCTGGAAATCTACTTCCAAAATATCAGCCAATGAAAACTCACTAGATCACAACAGCCCAGTCCTGAATTAATCATAGGGATGGTACAGGACCAGGCATTATTTCATTCTATTGTGCTTGTGGTCACTGTGACCCGGGTGCCAACTTGGTGGCTGATACAGCAACAACAACAGTAATGACACAGGAACACTGATGAAACAAGAGAAAGACATCTGCACAGAGGGAGGGAAAGAGATGGCCAGAAAAGACATGCCAACCTAGGAATTGCCAGGTCTGTGAGGGGAGAGAGTGAGAGTTGCTATTGGTAACAAGGAGTAGAAGCATTCCTTACTGCACCTTCTCTCTCCAGAGGGTCACTGTAAGACTGGAGATTCATCTCTCCCCAGCAACAGCCTCCCATTGGGTGTCGGGCCAGCATGTGATCCATAGACTCTGCTGCTTTCCTTCTCCCTGGAACATTCTCCCTGGGAAAGGGAGGAGTACAGCCCGGACACCACAAAGCCCTTTGCTAGGTGTCTGCTGCTCCTTGTGCCAGGTCTGCCACTGGGATCTGCTGTACACAATAGGCTTTATTTACCCTGATCCCTGCCAGCCTTGTTCTTCTCTCTGTTCTCTGCTGCTGGCCAGATGCTTCCATCTTTTCCACAGAGGACAAACTGGCCATCTAGTTTGTTTACGGTGTGTCCATATGCAGTTGAAATAATATTTGTTTAAATTGTCAACATTTAAAAATCTGGTGATTGAACATTACATTTAGATTTCTGGCTTTGTTTGAAAAGGTGTAGTAATGCTGACCCTGCTGAGTAGTTTGTGTGTGTCCTTTAAATGGGCCGGACATTGTCCAGCTGCCTCAACTCAGCAGCCAGATGTCACTTGTTCCTCACACTTGCTTGCGTCATCTTAACCCTGCATCATTTTAATCCTGTATGACCCATCTCACAGGAAGGTGAGTAAAGAGCCCCTGCACTCCAGAAAGATCATTTCGGCACTAGCGTTCTGTGAGAAATGTAGACTGGAGAAAACACAGGCTCTTTTCTGTGTCAAACTTTGACAATAAGAAGTTAATTAGATAATAACAGAGGATGCTACGAAGTCCAGATACATCGTGAAGGCCAGGCCATTTTCATCTCATCCCATACCCTTCCCTAATGTGGGAGTAAAATTCACTCAGGAGAGCTCAGTCCCATACTATCAGACATGGAAAGGAGGAAACAAAGTACTCTTTGTTTTGACTACTTGAGAAAGCAAAGTGCTATTTGTTTTCAGCAAGCAAGATTGCATCATCTGTATATCTCAGATTGTTAGTCTTCCTCCAATCCTGATGCTGCATACTTCTTCATATGGTCCCGACTCTTGGATTATTTGTTCAGTATACAGATTGAACCACCACTCACATGTCAGTTTGTTGTACTGTGGTGACTTGCATGTCCCTGTGATGCTGGAAGCTATGCCACCAGTATTTTAAATACCAGCAGGGTCACCCATGTTGGACAGTTCTTAGCTAAGCTTCTAGATTAAGACAAACTAGGAAGAAGGAGAGGCGGACTACTTCTGAGCATTTAGCCACTGAAAACCTTATGAATAGCATTGGAACACTGTCAGATAGTACCAGAGTATTGAATAATGAAGCATGAAGGATAGCACAAGAATATTGTCAAATACAGTACTGGAAGATGAGACCCTCAAGTTAGAAGGCACTCAAAATACAACTGGCAAAGGGCTATCTCCTCAAAGTAGAGTTAACCGTGATGACATGAATGGAGTAAAAACAGAGACTTCATTTACTGATAGGGTACAGCTCAAAATGAGGAAAAATAGCTGTAAATATTCATTATTAATCAGAACAAGGAAAATGCAAAATATGAATCTAGAAATTGAAAGTTGTCAAAAATGAAATGGAACACAGAAAGATTGATAACCTAGGCAAAATAGGTAGGTACTGGCCATTTTGACCAACATATGGTTTACTATGCCACAAATGACAACTTGAAGATGAATGGACTCACATTAATCATCAAAAAGAACATTTCAAGATCTATCTTGAAGTGCAACACTGTCTGTGATAAGATAATATCCATATGCCTACAAGGAAAACTAGTTAATACCACTGTTATTCAAATTTATGCGTCTACCACTAAACCCAGTGATGATGAAATTGAAGAATTCTAAGAACCTCTTCAGTCTGAAATTGAACAAGATGTGTTAATAATTACTGGTGATTGGAATGCAAAGGTTGGAAACAAAGAGGAAGGATCAGTAGTTGCAAAATATAGCCTTGGTGATAGAAAATATGCTGGAAATTACATGATGGACTTTTGCAGGACCAACGACTTATTTGTTGCAAATACCTTTAAGTTGTTATTTGTGGCATAAACAACATAAAAGATAAATATACATGTAGACATCACCAGATAGAGTACACAGAAGTCAAATTGACTACATCTATGGAAAGAGATGGTGAGGAAGCTCCACATCATCAGACAAAGCAAGGCTAGGGGCAGTCTGTGCAACAGACTATCAATTGCTCATATGCAAGATCAAGCTGAAGCAGAAGAAAAATAAAAGAAGCCAAAATTTGACCTTGAACATATTGCACCTGAATTTAGAGATCATCTCAAGAACAGATTGGAGGCATTAGACACTGACGACTGAAGACCAGAAAAGTTGTGGGATGATACCACAAACATGATACAGGAAGAAAGCAAAAGGTCATGTAGAAAACAAGAAAGAAGGAAAAGACCAAAATGGATGTCAGAAGAAACTCTGAAGCATGCTCTTGAGCATAAAGAACCTAGAGTAACTAGGAAAAGAAAACCTAGAGCAACTAGAAAAAAGAGCTGAACAAAAAATTTCAATGGCGAGTTTGA